AAGGCACCGTTTGACCTTTGACATTAGAGGTCAGACACATCTCTGCAATTCAAAATGGTTACATTTAAATAAAAATAGTTTTAAAAAAGTATTATTTAAAGTTCTAGTATGTAATTTTGGAATTATGACAGGACAGTTAATAAAATAAAAGAGTTAATTAGTTAAGTGCTATTAGTTAATAAAATAAATATAAAATAATGAAATGGTTTATATATAAATATTTAATTTTTTAAAAGTTCAAATATGTAATTTTGGAATTACGATGAAAAACTAGTAAAAAAAATGTTTTTTTAAATAAATATAAAGAAAAAGAAACAGTAAATTAGGTAAAAATAAAACAATTCTTTAAAGTTCAGCTATGTAACTAAATGGAATTGGAAACAACTATATAATGAAAAGCTAAAAAAAATAATAAAATAAAATAGTAAAATATAAAAAAAATAATTATTATTTAAAGTTCAAGTACGTAATTTTGGAATTATGATAGAACACTAATTAAAAACTAAATAGTTAATAAAATGTAAAAAAAAAAATATCTAAGCGTTTAAAAAAATACTTAAGTTCAAGTATGTAATTTTGGAATTTGGTGGATGACTAGTTAAAAACAGATTAGTTAAACTAAAAATTAAATAGTAAAATTGTTAATAAAATAAAAATAAAATAGTAAAAAATAAAGTATTATTTAAGTATTATTTAATATTATTATTAATATATTTAAGTTCTAGTATGTAATTTTGGAATTATGACAGGACAGTTAATAAAATAAAATAGTTAATTAGTTAAGTGCTATTAGTTAATAAATTAAATATAAAATAATGAAATATTTTATATATAAATATTGAATTTTTTTTAAAGTTCAAGTATGTAATTTTGGAAGTACAATGGAAAACTCTTACCGATAGGAATATTTTGTTTGCAGACTTTATCCACAAGACTGTCAGACCCGCCGACCTCAGGATGTAGGAAGGTTCCGTGGCCGATTCTATCAGGAGGTAAGTTCAACAGCAGCTCAGACTCATCTCTCTGAGAAGGAACCTGAAATACACATGAACTCTTGCGTAAACCATGTAAAATTATGCTGTCAAATCGATTAATCACATCCAAAATAAAAGTTTGTGTTTACATAATATATGTGTGTGTACATATATATATATATATATATATATATATATAAAAATACACATACAGACGTATATATTTTATTTTGGATGTAATTAATCACGATGAATCGAATTGACAGCACTAGGTTTACCAAAACATCCTTCCAATATAAAGAAGTTTCCATGTGCTCTGACCTCCGAGAGGTGTAGCGCCAGCTTCAGACCGCAGTTCTTGGCTTTTTCAAGTGCAGAGAGCAAATTTTTTCCATGACCCACCTGTAAGATCAAAGATATGGAGAGTGCAGATAGAAGCAACAAGTCGAGTATCAAGTTAATTGCACTTAATCTGAACTCACTGTTGGGTCTCCACTGAGGTCAAGTCCAACTACTACTCCATCACTGGAAAGCAGGAAGTCCTCTGCCAGCTTCACAGTCTCCATGGCAACCACAGGCCCGTGTCTGCGGTCCACGGCTACGAGAAACCTGTTCAAACATTCAAAAATACAGCAGGTGACCATAAAAAAAGCAGGTTGTTACCTAGAATAAATACCTTAATATTACCTGACATCAATGTCAACTTCCTCTTGTTTACACTGCCGGATGGCTTCGAGCACAGTTTCAATGTATCTTTGTTTAGTGAGACCTTTTTGTGACAAAAAAAAATGTCAACAAAAAGCAGAAATGAGCTGCTAATAAATGTTTGACATATAAAATGCTTCTAGTACCTGTTTCAGTCACTTCCCGTGGCGTGCTACGCAATTCCAAATATTTTACACCATCTGCCGCAAACTCTTGGATGACTGCTTTGGCAACCTGTTTGAAAATCATAATTCTGTTTTTAATTTATTCTTAAAGGTGCAAGAGAATAAAACACTGAGTTAACCATTACCATTAGTATGTCCTCTTCTGAATCAACCAGCTGATGAATCACTTTAAAGACTTGAAAACACCTGTTGGAGAAATACACTGACTTAAGAAATAGTTCATTTGTATTGTTATTTCATAGCCCGAAATAACAGCAGGACTAGACGTAGTACACTATTATTAGTATACTTAGTGTGCATTACAAATTGAGTACATTTGTATTTGTATTATTATATTATTTCCAAATATGTGTACTTCTGTAGTATATAGTGGGCAAAAAAAGTATGTGAGATTAGTAGTATGTCCGAATTCATAGTATTCATAAAATAGTAGCCGGATGACTTACTACTTCTGGCGAGATTCTGAACAACACAGCACAACAAACTTTGGAAACAAGTTGCAACATATCGGAATTAGCACAACTCAACGAAATTAGTCCTATGCGTTGTGTTGAGGCGATTTCGTTGTGTTGTGCACTACTGGGCAACCATACAAACATGAGGCCAAGGGGGAGGATTTGTGAATGGTAGTGTAGTGACGCAACCGACGCTAGAAGGTCACAAATCCCCACTTTTTAGTAAATGTAGTACATTTTAATAATAATTTTATAAGGAATTATTTTAATGTTGGATCCAATCCTCCATGTAAATAACAAAAAGGCTTAAACCTCACCATATAGGCAACCGTGGCCCATCATCTGGACATTACTTTAAAAATGTTATTTCTAAAAACAAAGGAAATAACATACACAATTATTCATGGATATATCCATTTATAATGAATGTACTTTCTGCAACACATTAGTTGAAGATAGTTAACATTTAATCTTTATTGCCCTTTCTCGGATTTCATTTATAATTGGACATGACAGGGAAAAAAACTTTACATTTAGAAACATATTTTACAGAAAAAAAAACTAAATTACATAACTATAATCTGTAATTATTTTAATACAATTTTGTAGGGAAAAAAAAATCAAGAATAACTCAACTCATGTCACTGCCCAATCGTTAACTTTTTACAGACAAATGACAAAATCACGGATGTAGTACGTCTGGTTTACATTCATACTAAGTACGTACTTGTTCAAAGGAAGTACATACTCGGAGAACAGGCGATTTCGAACGCAGCCAATTTCTAAGATTTTTCTCTTACTTGTTTTAAAGGTTCGTATCAGTACATTCGTCCTAACAGATGGACTCGAGTGTGTTTATGTGATGTGTGTAGTTCAGTGCTCGACACGCACTCGTCCAGTGATCGGCGCTGTCCGCGGCGGATGGCGGTCATGCTGTGCTCGATGTTCAGATGCGGCTTGCGCTTTATAAGCGTCTCCATCGTTTCAAAACTGACAGAACCATTAAGATGTGCGTGTAACTCCTGAAAGAAAAAACACACCGAATTTAATTTCATTAAGTGTAATTACTTGAATTAATTTATTTACACACATTGGATTGAGCTCATTAAACGATAACGTCTGTTTTATTAATGGACCTGAAAAAAATGTCCTACCACTTTTGGCAGCTGACGATAGAAGACATCCGCTTCGGTATCCATCTCAGTTTTCGTTAACTTTATGAAAATGTGTATTTTGAAGAGACTCCTGCGTGTGAAATAGAGATGAACTAATTTTGACACATGGAGACGGAATGTTTTTCCTGCAGCACCAGCGTTGCGTTACAGAAATTAATCTTAGACAACATCGACCTCTAACAATGGTTCCCATGTTCATATTCAAGTTAAACTATCAGCAAACTTTCGTTTTAATTTGAGTATTTCTAGTTTTAGTGATTCTGTTGTGTTTGGTCATGTATATGCACAGGTATTATTAATTTTATTTCAGTTTGAGTTATTTTAGTTGGACTACATCAGGTAAACCATAAATGAAAATGACAAACTAGCTGAGATAAATAAGAATAATAATGAGTTTAAGTTTTTTTAAAATATTTTATTTTAATTCACTTTTATTTTATTTTGAGTACAACAGTGACTGACATTAAATTTTAAAAAATGTCAACGTTCTACACAAAAGATAAATAAACAATGACTGTTCACAAGTTTTGGTGTTCATAAAAAAATCAACATATGTTTTATATACACACTGCACATAAATACATCAAAATATTGAGTACATAAAAAGGACCAAATACATAAATTGTTATTTATGTATAATTTAAACAATTTAGTATTTTATACATTATATTAATAATACATAGCCTATTATACATATTAGCAATATGCATTTAGCAGACTGGAATACTGTATTTTGTACTATTTTCTGACTAATTTGGATCTTGATATTTTAAACACTGAAGAACAAACAAGCAGAAAGTTATTATCTGATAATTATTGGCTTTAGCCACAATTATGATAAAGTGTAACGTGTATACACACTGTAAAAAAAAATCCATAAAATTTACGGTAAAAAAACGGCAGCTGTGGTTGCCGGAATTTTACTGTAAAAATACAGTAAAAGTTATACCGTAAATACCGTAATTTCATTAACTGATGTAATGTTAATATACCAACCTATTGAAGTACTGAAATCTGTTTTGTACCTTTGTAATACACTGATAACCACCAAATGCCGGAGGTGATGAGAAAGTCACATGATGAACCAAAGCCCATCATTCACACAAACACCAAACACCATCATGGTAACACACATGAAACTGAAATAATGCAATAAACATTCATTTAACAACATTAGGTGTAACACACAACCCTAATATACAAAACTGATAAGAAAAAACTGAAAAGAAACATAGTTATTTCAACAAAAAAACATCAAATTTTAAATGTAACGCAGGGAATTCTGGGAATGTCAATTTACGGTTATTCACTGTAAATTATACGGTATTGTTCACTTCCAAAAATGGTATACTACCGTAAAATTTATGTCCAATACATGTAATGTCCAATACAGTTTTTCACCGTATATAGTAGGGGAATTTACCGTTAACCATTTAACAGGTTTTTACTGTAGCATTTTTACAGTATTTTACCGTTAAATTCACGGTCATTTTTTACAGTGTGCAGTGTAGCAAACATTATTTGCGATCTCAACAGACACACTTCAAATTTATATATGATTGCTTGGCTTTGGGTAGGCGCTTGTCTTTCATGAATCAGAGATTCAACTCATTATAGGTATGCTGTTTATGGATCATATACAGAAAAACATCTGGATCCTCAATCAGCAGTCCAGCTCTGTGTATTACATGACCTCACACTTTTCAGCAGACTGTTTAAGGTCTTCGATGGTGGACTGGGCCTTTTCTTTTAGCTGGTCTATATCTACGTTCTGAATGTTGGTCAGCTGACCCAGGACAGACTGCTTGTGCTCCTCCTCCTGGTTGTCTTCGGCGATCATCTTGGCCAGCTCTGTGGGCAACTCCACGTCATCTGCCGCAGCCTGAATTTGTGTCTCGTCCAGTTCACTCTGTTAATAAAAAATAGAAGTTAATAATGAAATAATGAATTACAGTGGTTCATACAGTGCATTTTACAAAGTGATGTTTACTTTTGGAAGGCGATATTTTTCCCTGAAGTGGCTCCTGACTGTGGCTCGCTCAGCTTTCTTTTGGGCAAAGCTGGCATCCCGCTCCATCCTAGCGGGTAAATAAAAGTCGGTTAAACTTAAAACATTTTTTGTTAATATATATTTGAATAAAAATAAATATAAAAATAATACAATTAAATATAATTAAATACGCTTACATTTTTTTAAATTTAATTTTTGCTAATATTTTTAAATAGTATAAATATTAAAAATAAATCAAATAAATAAATATATATTTTTTAAAGAAATTACTTTGCATAAACATGATCCAATATAAAAACATTTTCAGTGTACATTTGAACCTTTTGTGTGCGTGTGTGTGTGTGTGTGTGTAGGACAATGTAATACGATGCCAAACGAAAATGCACATAAAGGAAGAAAAACAGCTGCATATGCATTTCTCCAGAGGAGTCACTGTCCTTAATGCCAAACCAGAGAAACATGCATCTGGAGAGCAAGGTGACATTGATTAAACCACAGAAATACAGTAAACTGGAGATAAACATGGACCTTCTCTATATCTCCTTGTATTACATTTGAACAAGTGACTCTGCATTTTGTGTTAAATTCAAATAGAAGGGATAGGGATGTTATAATGTGGTATAAAATGTTTTAAAATAATTATTATGGTGACATTCATCCGGGTTCTCATTTAAGATTCATGTGCATCTGTGGATGTCTATGTAAGGAACATGTGCTTTATTTATTGTTTGTTTGTTTGTTTGTGAAGTGGAATTTGTTGTTGGAAAAACAGAATAAAATATAACAAAGTAATTGTCTGACAATTAATAAAATTAAAAAATTAAAAAACTTGATATTCATTGGTTATTACCAAACGTAATAACGGAGGGAAATGATGCATATATACAAATGAAATAAAATGCATTTGATTAAAATTGTAACAAAAAAATAAATAAATAAATAAAACGTCATATTTTGTCATGACCAGTCGGCTAATGAAACAGAAAGAGAAGGATATAAAAGTGATGAATCTTACTTCTCCTCCGCCAACTGTTGTTGATATTGCTCAAACTCTTCTTGTGTCATTCCCTTCCCTGCAGCTTCTGACTGTTCTCCTTCTGCTTTTTCTTCTGCTAGACCCCCGGTAAGATCCTTCAGCTGCCCTCCTATCATGTGTTTGAACATAAAAGCCATAGTTTTGTCTGCAGAACAGGCTACAGATATGAATCGCCTGCTTTGTGGATAAGATGTCAGTCACTTGAGAAACTCTTGCTTAGTAATGTCTCGTCCAACTATTGAGAAGAAAACAAAGACGCCACAACGACAGTCGATGTTTTTCTTTCTTCAGCTCAATTCAAGTTTCAGCACCAAATATTCATGACCTGTACAACTCTCTCTCTCTCTCTCTCTCTCTATTTATGAAGTAACGCGCGACTTCTGATTCATGAGGCTTCTGCTTGCATGACTGAAGGTGAGGCTCAAAAACAACAACAACAAAACAATATAAAGTATACTTTTAAGTGCATGCTGTAGATATTATACATAGCCTGCCCTACACAGACACGTAGTATGTAGGCTATGTTCTATAAACCGCCTCCACTTCACAAGATCCTACAATAATTGTAGCACATAAATACAGAAATGTAGACATCAGATGTTTTTAATCTTTCATAAAATTCTATAACATGGCCTAGGTCACACTACCTAGTGTTTTGTTGTAGATGTGGACACTGTTTGTTCTGGATGTATAGCACACACTGCCTAGTAAACTATGCTGAATTTTATAGTGCGCTGTTCACAAATTGACAATATTTCTGACGATATGTTGCCGAGATTAAGTTATTTATTATGTACAAAAGGTTCAGAGGGCAGTGAACTGTTGGTATAATGCTCAATTTCAGAGCACTGACATGTAGAGACAGTCCTGCCAACAAACATAGGCATGTATGTAAACAGTACATACACTTGAAGAAATATGAATATAAAATATGATATATACAAGTACAGCATGGTAATACTATATATAGTAAATCTTCTATAGGTGTCTTGTTATAAGATGTTTCCATATCAGATGTATTTTGAGAAATTAAATGCCCTTTAGAAATATTGACACTATACCTAAATTGATTAGCTACTTCCAATCAACTCCTTAGATTTGAACTATTAGAAGACATTTGTGGACAGAAAATCCTTTCATTGGTTTAGTTTGTGTATTTTTGAGACTGTGGGCTTGTTGATGAGTCTGTGAGTAATGATGAGCCGCCACTGTCACTCCTCTCCTGTGTCCAGCAAATCACAAGACTGCTCAAGTGAAACACCTCAGTCTGTGTCAACTAATTGTATTTCATACAGTGGTAGGCTCTGTGATTAAACTAAATTATGTGATTCATAACCATGCTAAATAAAATAATATATACTAATAACAAAATTAATGTACTAATGTGTATATAGTCACACATCATCATGTTATATTATATAAATTTTTATATTATATATACTGTATATATAATTATTCTGCTTTGTGACCAACAATATATATATATATATATATATATATATATATATACAGTGGTTTCTGTCAATATGGGGTGCTGTGTGTACATTAATGAGGAAAAAAAATTAACTTAAATTATTTTAGCAAATGGCTGCAATATAACAAAGAGTGAAAAATTTAAGGGGGTCTGAATACTTTCCGTACCCACTGTATATATATATATATATATAGATAGATAGATAGATAGATAGATAGATAGATAGATAACAATGAAAAATCTATATTTAAAAAGCTAAAGGAACTTGCATGGGACAAATTGATACAGAACGTGTTAAATATTCATTTTTCATTGTTATCTATATATTGTTTAGATAAATTGACAAATCGCTTTTCTTCAAACATGAATACAACATGTATAAATACATCCTCTTTGGATGATATGATGACCTTTCCCAAAGAGACTGGTGAGTCAACACTTTGTACCATTTGGAGGAATTTGAACAATTACATTTGCTGTGAACATTCATCTAGCTGAATCCAACTGCTTTCAGATGGAAATCTCTGATAACATGAGAGTTTATTCAGAGACGCCACACTGAATCCATTATCAAATATGTTTTAAACATGACCAGCTGCAATCTGATTTGTCCTCAGCAGTGAAAAACAAGAGACTATAATGAATTGCATTTAGCATACAAACAGCAGAGACACTTTCCCAAACCTTCCACAGCACTTATATGAGGGTCAGCGATTCCTCAGATAAATGCCAGGGCATTGAGAAGGTTTGTCCCGGCACAAAGACACTTCCCCTTTCAGCAGGACTCTGAATCACTGTACTCAAGTGGTCGCTGTGATTTTGCCAAGTAAGACATGTTCCTGGATCAACATATTTTGTTGATCCTGGATCAACATTACTGTCCAAAAATATAGACTAAACCCAATCCCTACCCCTAAACCTAACCCTACCCATAATTTATTCCTAAAATCAGTGTGAAATGATAGCTGATTACCAAGGGTGTAGAAGCACCTAACCCTGATCCTAAACCTAAAACAGATATTTCCTGAAAAGTTATCCCTCAATTCTGATTGGTTAATTGGAATGTTGTTCCAGGACCAACAAGGATGTTGATCCAGGAACATGTTGTACTTGGTGAAATCACGGTCACCGTACTCAAGTACCCTTCATGAGGCGCATTTCTGGCCAAAATGCAAACAGCAGAGAGATGGGTTTTGCATGAGAGGAGACTGTCAGAAAGGAAAGCATTTCGAGGACTCCACTTCTAGTGTTGATTGGGATTCACACTGGCATTCAAGCTCCCTTAGGCTGGGCGTGGGTGAAGGCCGGATCCGGGCCTGAGCCCAAATGTCACAGGAGAGATGTAAATGGGGGCTGACGAGCACTGCGGATGCTTCCGGACCTACAGCTGGAGGAACTTTGGTATTTTAGAGAATCAAACTTAGCATGTCACTTAATGTTGCTCTCTTCCGGCAAACGCATGAACTCTGCGTGTCACGGAGATAAAGACTGAAGAAACGTACCAATCATTGCTGCTACCGACTGCTGGATGGTTTGAAGCTATGGATGTTCGCATTTCGGTTTTTCCCTCATAACGTGAGGTCAGAGTCATTTCCTTTAAACCAAGCGGTTGAATTAAACTCTTCTTACTGTCCCTTAGCAATGTCTTCCAAATAGGCCAGAAAACAGAGTAAATGGTGACACATGCATGACATCCAAAGTCAAGCGTTCTGGTGTGAAGCACACAGGACGCCCGAGGGGGAAGCTGAAGTCCCGTCTCCCTGACTTACCTCATTCTTCCTTGTTGAACGGGGAAGCTTGTGTGCTTGAAGTCTGAATAAGAATCTCAGGTTATCTCGGTTTTTAAGGGGAGGAACTACAGGTGGTTTAGTTCCCTTTTCCTTTCACATAAATAGAAAATAAAAAAATGAAACCAACAAATCACCATATTATAACTATGCAAATTAAGCATCATCTTATAATAATAAGCAATGAGTTCCAGTAGCAAATATGCATATTTGCATGCACTATAAAAATTATATGATCAATAAGTCATGTCAACTTATGTTTTACATTACTGTAACTCAAAAGTATTTTTTTATAATTTCTATGAAATTCAACTTAAGTTGATTTAATGCAATATGAGTTCAAATGACTTGTACAACTAAGCTGATTATACTACAAAAATATATATATTTATCATCATATAATTAGAAATTGAAAAATCTATAAATTTGATATATACTTAATACACACACATTTAAAAATCTATACAAATTACTAAATAATTTCTATTTTTAAATAGAGTATTTCATTAGATTTTTTTATCTATATATTTGAGATAATATTTCATTAAAAAAAAAGAAATGTTCTGTTGGCTGTTTTTTTTTCTAGTAGCTTTCAAATGTTGTACAAATAAAAAGTGAAATTTTCCAGAATGATAATTTATAAGTAGTAGCAGCTCACCGTAAGAAACAAACTCAAATATTTGTATATCAAAAATGGAAATGCAAACATTTCTCTGTGTTGGTGTGTTTTCATTCCAGTACTTTTGTTCACCAAAGGTAGATTCACCTTCACCGAAAACCACAAATGCAACATTTCAGTGGTTCAGGTTTCGTTCTAGCTGCATGCTCATGAATCCTCCTCTTCTTGATATCATGTTCTTGCAAAGAAACATGCACCGAGCAGAAATACAGCATCCTGTAGATAGACCAGAGAACAATCCCATCACATCCTGATGGAGGAGCATGTGATGCCACTTTCAAAACATGTGACATATGCCAAGCGCATCTGCAGGGCATCGGGATTATTATTACTATTGCACAAACGTGTGTCAAAACCTTATGTTGAAAATCTGTCATGTGTCATGACTGTTTGGGTCACTGCTAAACGGGCAGAAGCTTGTATAGATGACGTGTTTCCTCTCTGGGTGCATTTAGCGTTTCCTTGACTGACCTTTAAATTGAAAGACAGTACAGTTACATTAAACACACAAACACACATTCAAAGCTTTGTGGCAGTCTTTTTATTTTTTTGTCTTTATCAAACTGTTCGGGTGGAATGATTTTTTCTGAAATATGGCAGCAAAGAAAACAAATATGAAAAGTACTAAGATAAAATTAAGTCCTTCACAAAAGTCAACAAACATCACAAATATTTCTCAAATCTGTATTTGTGGCCTTTTTGTATAATTTCTCCCGTTTTATTATTTTTAATTAAAGCAATCCGGCTTCCACACAAGCCACATCTCTTTTTAAAGGCTCACAATGTTTCTATTCATCCTTCCTGGTTTTGAGGCTCAGACTGACGCATGTTTGAAAAGATGAGCAAGACAGCAGGAAATTCAAGCGCTTCTAAACAACATATTAAAAAAAGACTTCTGGCGTAAAGGCACTGTGAAATGGAAGAAAGATTCTCTGGTGGATTTCATTGGCTACTGGAACGGAAAACAGTGCGGGATGAGCATACGGTCTCCCTAAGTGCCAATTATTTTTTTTGGTTACAAGATTTTGCAGACAACCAGCCTTATGGGTGCCGTCATATAGCATTTCTCATGATATTTATTGACTGATGATTTTTCTCTTTTTTTGGCAGAAAATCCTATATGCTAATCAAAAGTCCAAAATAAGGGAGTGTATGAGGACATATCAGAGGAGGCTGAAGATCTTCTAAATCAAAAAGAGGTGAGTTGTTGAAGAGAAGGCCAGCCTCCCCAAAATTAAGAAAATCAAGCCATGAAAGCGATGCAAAGTAGAAAAAAAGAGAGTGCACTTGCAAAAGAAAATTCTGCTGATGTTTTTCAAGTCCACTGCTTAAAGAGTAGATTTTGGTCAGACTGTATGAGAATGGTCCCGTGAAGGTCTTCCTCTGTGTTTTTTCCTCTAGTTTTTGTCTTTTATCGGTACAGTTCATTGGCTATGATATCTTGAAGTTTCTGGCTCAGTTCTCTGAAGCTGGGACGCGCCACAGGGTCCAGAGTCCAGCACTCCTTCATGATGTCATACACCACCGCCGGGCAGCCGTCTGGGGCGTCCATCTTATAACCCTTCTCTACGCGTGGGACAACTTCCTTCAGAGGCTGAACAGAGGATGAAGGACACCACAACTTAGCAAAAATGTGCTGAGTAGACAACAGTGTTCTCTACTGGTAGAATTTGCCTTGATACTAAAATTGTAGGAAACAGGCATAATGTGGTATGTGCAGAAATCTTGCAAAACACTAAAATATAGTTTTAATTAAAATAACATTACAAAATGCATTAATTATAATATCCCAATTATTTTTATTTAATTTTTTCAAAGATTATTTTAATTTAAATTAGATTATTAATAGTAAAACTGTAATAGTAGTAATGATAATAATAACATCAAATAAATAAAATATAATTATAAATGATATCACAAATGTATTTTTATTGGTAATGTTTCTGCTTTGAAGTGACTTGAGTATTAATATCCTATTTTAGTCATTTTATTTTATATTAGATTATTCTTATTATTTTTATTACTACAACTGTTATTATTATTTAAAATAATAATTACAAATGTATTTCTTATTGGTAAAGTTTCTGCTATAAGGTGACCTATTAGCTTAAATAAATAAAAATAAAAGTATAGATTTTAATATATTGTTTTTACAACAACAACAACCATTTTAAAAACTACTTTACTATTACCGTATTTTTATTGGCCATGTTTCTTCTTTTTTGTGTGGCTTGCATGTATTATATTACCATCCAATTTAATGTAATTATTTAAATGTAAATTTAAAGTGCCCCTATTATGGACTTTTGAAAATTACATTGCATGCAGTGAATGAAAACATCCTACAAAGGGGAAGTCGTGGCCTAATGGTTAGAGAGTCGGAGAGAATCCACCTTCAATACCACGACTGAGGTGCCCTTGAGCAAGGCACCGAACCCCCAACTGCTCCCCGGGTGTGTTCACGGTGTGTGTGTGTTCACTGCTGTGTGTGTGTTCACTGCTGTGTGTGTGAGATAGATAGATAGATAGATAGATAGATAACAATGAAAAATCTATATTTAAAAAGCTAAAGGAACTTGCATGGGACAAATTGATACAGAACGTGTTAAATATTCATTTTTCATTGTTATCTATAAATTGTTTAGATAAACGGAAAAATCATGAATAAAACATGTTTAAATGTCCTCTTTGGATGATATGATGACCATTCCCAAAGAGACCAGTGAGTCAGTGCTTTGAACCATTTGGGGGGGATTTTAACAATTACATTTTCTGTGAACATTCATCTTGCTGAATCCAACTGCTTTCAGATTGAAATCTCTGATAACATGAGAGTTTATTCAGAGACGCCACACTGAATCCATTATCAAATATGTTTTAAACATGACCAGCTGCAATCTGATTTGTCCTCAGCAGTGAAAAACAAGAGACTATAATGAATTGCATTTAGCATACAAACAGCAGAGACACTTTCCCAAACCTTCCACAGCACTTATATGAGGGTCAGCGATTCCTCAGATAAATGCCAGGGCATTGAGAAGGTTTGTCCCGGCACAAAGACACTTCCCCTTTCAGCAGGACTCTGAATCACTGTACTCAAGTGGTCGCTGTGATTTTGCCAAGTAAGACATGTTCCTGGATCAACATATTTTGTTGATCCTGGATCAACATTACTGTCCAAAAATATAGACTAAACCCAATCCCTACCCCTAAACCTAACCCTACCCATAATTTATTCCTAAAATCAGTGTGAAATGATAGCTGATTACCAAGGGTGTAGAAGCACCTAACCCTGATCCTAAACCTAAAACAGATATTTCCTGAAAAGTTATCCCTCAATTCTGATTGGTTAATTGGAATGTTGTTCCAGGACCAACAAGGATGTTGATCCAGGAACATGTTGTACTTGGTGAAATCACGGTCACCGTACTCAAGTACCCTTCATGAGGCGCATTTCTGGCCAAAATGCAAACAGCAGAGAGATGGGTTTTGCATGAGAGGAGACTGTCAGAAAGGAAAGCATTTCGAGGACTCCACTTCTAGTGTTGATTGGGATTCACACTGGCATTCAAGCTCCCTTAGGCTGGGCGTGGGTGAAGGCCGGATCCGGGCCTGAGCCCAAATGTCACAGGAGAGATGTAAATGGGGGCTGACGAGCACTGCGGATGCTTCCGGACCTACAGCTGGAGGAACTTTGGTATTTTAGAGAATCAAACTTAGCATGTCACTTAATGTTGCTCTCTTCCGGCAAACGCATGAACTCTGCGTGTCACGGAGATAAAGACTGAAGAAACGTACCAATCATTGCTGCTACCGACTGCTGGATGGTTTGAAGCTATGGATGTTCGCATTTCGGTTTTTCCCTCATAACGTGAGGTCAGAGTCATTTCCTTTAAACCAAGCGGTTGAATTAAACTCTTCTTACTGTCCCTTAGCAATGTCTTCCAAATAGGCCAGAAAACAGAGTAAATGGTGACACATGCATGACATCCAAAGTCAAGCGTTCTGGTGTGAAGCACACAGGACGCCCGAGGGGGAAGCTGAAGTCCCGTCTCCCTGACTTACCTCATTCTTCCTTGTTGAACGGGGAAGCTTGTGTGCTTGAAGTCTGAATAAGAATCTCAGGTTATCTCGGTTTTTAAGGGGAGGAACTACAGGTGGTTTAGTTCCCTTTTCCTTTCACATAAATAGAAAATTAAAAAATGAAACCAACAAATCACCATATTATAACTATGCAAATTAAGCATCATCTTATAATAATAAGCAATGAGTTCCAGTAGCAAATATGCATATTTGCATGCACTATAAAAAATTATATGATCAATAAGTCATGTCAACTTATGTTTTACATTACTGTAACTCAAAAGTATTTTTTTATAATTTCTATGAAATTCAACTTAAGTTGATTTAATGCAATATGAGTTCAAATGACTTGTACAACTAAGCTGATTATACTACAAAAATATATATATTTATCATCATATAATTAGAAATTGAAAAATCTATAAATTTGATATATACTTAATACACACACATTTAAAAATCTATACAAATTACTAAATAATTTCTATTTTTAAATAGAGTATTTCATTAGATTTTTTTATCTATATATTTGAGATAATATTTCATTAAAAAAAAAGAAATGTTCTGTTGGCTGTTTTTTTTTCTAGTAGCTTTCAAATGTTGTACAAATAAAAAGTGAAATTTTCCAGAATGATAATTTATAAGTAGTAGCAGCTCACCGTAAGAAACAAACTCAAATATTTGTATATCAAAAATGGAAATGCAAACATTTCTCTGTGTTGGTGTGTTTTCATTCCAGTACTTTTGTTCACCAAAGGTAGATTCACCTTCACCGAAAACCACAAATGCAACATTTCAGTGGTTCAGGTTTCGTTCTAGCTGCATGCTCATGAATCCTCCTCTTCTTGATATCATGTTCTTGCAAAGAAACATGCACCGAGCAGAAATACAGCATCCTGTAGATAGACCAGAGAACAATCCCATCACATCCTGATGGAGGAGCATGTGATGCCACTTTCAAAACATGTGACATATGCCAAGCGCATCTGCAGGGCATCGGGATTATTATTACTATTGCACAAACGTGTGTCAAAACCTTATGTTGAAAATCTGTCATGTGTCATGACTGTTTGGGTCACTGCTAAACGGGCAGAAGCTTGTATAGATGACGTGTTTCCTCTCTGGGTGCATTTAGCGTTTCCTTGACTGACCTTTAAATTGAAAGACAGTACAGTTACATTAAACACACAAACACACATTCAAAGCTTTGTGGCAGTCTTTTTATTTTTTTGTCTTTATCAAACTGTTCGGGTGGAATGATTTTTTCTGAAATATGGCAGCAAAGAAAACAAATATGAAAAGTACTAAGATAAAATTAAGTCCTTCACAAAAGTCAACAAACATCACAAATATTTCTCAAATCTGTATTTGTGGCCTTTTTGTATAATTTCTCCCGTTTTATTATTTTTAATTAAAGCAATCCGGCTTCCACACAAGCCACATCTCTTTTTAAAGGCTCACAATGTTTCTATTCATCCTTCCTGGTTTTGAGGCTCAGACTGACGCATGTTTGAAAAGATGAGCAAGACAGCAGGAAATTCAAGCGCTTCTAAACAACATATTAAAAAAAGACTTCTGGCGTAAAGGCACTGTGAAATGGAAGAAAGATTCTCTGGTGGATTTCATTGGCTACTGGAACGGAAAACAGTGCGGGATGAGCATACGGTCTCCCTAAGTGCCAATTATTTTTTTTGGTTACAAGATTTTGCAGACAACCAGCCTTATGGGTGCCGTCATATAGCATTTCTCATGATATTTATTGACTGATGATTTTTCTCTTTTTTTGGCAGAAAATCCTATATGCTAATCAAAAGTCCAAAATAAGGGAGTGTATGAGGACATATCAGAGGAGGCTGAAGATCTTCTAAATCAAAAAGAGGTGAGTTGTTGAAGAGAAGGCCAGCCTCCCCAAAATTAAGAAAATCAAGCCATGAAAGCGATGCAAAGTAGAAAAAAAGAGAGTGCACTTGCAAAAGAAAATTCTGCTGATGTTTTTCAAGTCCACTGCTTAAAGAGTAGATTTTGGTCAGACTGTATGAGAATGGTCCCGTGAAGGTCTTCCTCTGTGTTTTTTCCTCTAGTTTTTGTCTTTTATCGGTACAGTTCATTGGCTATGATATCTTGAAGTTTCTGGCTCAGTTCTCTGAAGCTGGGACGCGCCACAGGGTCCAGAGTCCAGCACTCCTTCATGATGTCATACACCACCGCCGGGCAGCCGTCTGGGGCGTCCATCTTATAACCCTTCTCTACGCGTGGGACAACTTCCTTCAGAGGCTGAACAGAGGATGAAGGACACCACAACTTAGCAAAAATGTGCTGAGTAGACAACAGTGTTCTCTACTGGTAGAATTTGCCTTGATACTAAAATTGTAGGAAACAGGCATAATGTGGTATGTGCAGAAATCTTGCAAAACACTAAAATATAGTTTTAATTAAAATAACATTACAAAATGCATTAATTATAATATCCCAATTATTTTTATTTAATTTTTTCAAAGATTATTTTAATTTAAATTAGATTATTAATAGTAAAACTGTAATAGTAGTAATGATAATAATAACATCAAATAAATAAAATATAATTATAAATGATATCACAAATGTATTTTTATTGGTAATGTTTCTGCTTTGAAGTGACTTGAGTATTAATATCCTATTTTAGTCATTTTATTTTATATTAGATTATTCTTATTATTTTTATTACTACAACTGTTATTATTATTTAAAATAATAATTACAAATGTATTTCTTATTGGTAAAGTTTCTGCTATAAGGTGACCTATTAGCTTAAATAAATAAAAATAAAAGTATAGATTTTAATATATTGTTTTTACAACAACAACAACCATTTTAAAAACTACTTTACTATTACCGTATTTTTATTGGCCATGTTTCTTCTTTTTTGTGTGGCTTGCATGTATTATATTACCATCCAATTTAATGTAATTATTTAAATGTAAATTTAAAGTGCCCCTATTATGGACTTTTGAAAATTACATTGCATGCAGTGAATGAAAACATCCTACAAAGGGGAAGTCGTGGCCTAATGGTTAGAGAGTCGGAGAGAATCCACCTTCAATACCACGACTGAGGTGCCCTTGAGCAAGGCACCGAACCCCCAACTGCTCCCCGGGGGTGTTCACGGTGTGTGTGTGTTCACTGCTGTGTGTGTGTTCACTGCTGTGTGTGTGCACTTAGGATGGGTTAAACGCAGAGCACTAATTCCGAGTATGGGTAACCATACTTGGCCACATGTCGCGTCACTTTCACTTTCAAAGTTAAATCTGAAAGTGCACCTTGTATAAAGTTATTGTCTCTCAAAAGAAAGAGTCGACTCTGAATCATTGAAACAAGTCGTTTTTAAAACTAATCCCAAACCTTTCATGTTGATGTCAACATGAAACATTAGCATATTGCCCGCCCACTTCTTTGTCTTTTCGTATTGGTCTGAATGAAAATGCAAATTCATTCTTTGCCACTAGGTGCCGCTTTAGGAGCGGTAAAATAACGGTTTCCCCGGTAACGCTGTACACAAAGCAGCACTGTGCTCACAAACTGCTTTATCAGGCATTACAGACATGATGAAATTAAATGAGACCAATCGACCAATCACTGCAGATTAGCGTCACGCAAAGGAGGGGTTTGGAAAAATGAATCGTTTGGGAGTCGTTGAGCAAGTAAGGTAAAAATAAATGCATATTATAAGACAATGAAAGTGTTTTTTGACCTTGCATGCATGTCAAACTGTTACTGGGGACTCCCAAAACCAAAATATGAACCTTTCATTACCCATAATAGGGGCACTTTAATTATTAATAAAATATAATAATAATATTAATATTAAAAATGTACTTTTTATTGGTCATGCTTCTGTTTTGAGGTGTATAGAATTATGTACTGATTATAATATTCTATTTATTTTAGTAGTTTTCATTTAAACTAGGTAAAAGAAATAAGAATTGTATTTATGAAAAACAACTACAAATAAAAAATATTATTAAAAAAAATAATAATAATAATTGTCATGTTTTGAAGAGACTTACAATTCTTGGATAAGGTACCCGACCAAAGGAATAGATCTCCCAGAGTAAGATGCCATAACTCCATACATCTGACTTAGTGGAAAACGCCTGTTTCAGACAGACAGGTAGAAATAAAATAAAAAAAGACAAGAAATGTCTCTAAACATTAAAACAAAAGCAGAAAACTTACCTTCTCCCTTAAGGCCTCAGGTGAAGTCCACTTAACAGGCAGTTTGGCTGTATCTTGAGTAGACGATGCTTCCTTGGTGAGGCCAAAGTCGCTGACTTTTGCCATGTTGTCTTCTGACACTAAAACATTACGAGCTGCCAGATCCCTGTGCACAAAGTTATTGGCCTCAAGATATTCCATCGCCTTGCAGACGTCCCTACAAAATAAAGAAAGAAAATAATTGAAGAAAACATTTTGAAAAATTATTTGTTCATTTTATAATTACTACAGTAATAAGACAAAACTGGATGAGTGCCAAGGTTTTTAAAAGATGTGATAAAAAGAAACGCACATTGAGAAATTGATCAAACGATCTCCACCAATAACACTACGTCCTCTGGAGCGCAGATAGTCCACTAGACTACCCTGAAAAAAGAAATTAAGACATTCAAATAATGATTTATATGATTTAAAGACCAGATTAAATGTATACGTCCAGTTATTTTCTGTGTCAACAGCTTTGGGTCACTCACTGACCTTGGCCATATATTCAGTGACGATAAAGAGGCTGCCCTTCTCTTCCACGATCACCCCCAGCAGCTGTACCAAGTTATTATGCCGTAATTGCCTGTAACAGTCAACATGAATATTTATATTTAAATATAAAAACATAAAAAGCCTTATTATTGTTTATTCTCTGTCAATCGGGGAGGACGTACGTCATGACAGAAGCCTCTGCAACGAAGGCCTGTGCTGTTGCGTCATGTTTGATACACTTCACCGCTACTTTCTTGCCTCTGTAGTCTCCGACCATCACATCTAAGAACCAAAAAGAGCAGATTTTTCTAACACTTGCGAGTTCAGATTAATTACTGGCTGCCTGGGTAGTTTATGATGCTATTAATATATTTGTGTTCATTTTTATAAGCTAAACGATGTCAAATCTGGGCCCTGAACCAAATTAATTTAGATTCAATGATCTAGACGTTATTTCTTAACAAAAAAAAAAAAAAAAAAGTATCTTTACCTCCAAACTCTCCCTTTCCGATAGTCTGGATGAGCTTCAGTTCTTTTCTATTCAGAGCCCAGCCACCTGAGAAAAAGGAAGATTAATTATCCTATTCAAATATCTTTCATAAAACAAACCCTGAAGCCACGCAGCAATTTAATTCTCTATAAATCAACAAATTCATGTGCGAGTGTAGTCAACAAGTATCTTACTTCTCGAGAACTCATCCTGGGCCGCCACAGTCCCCTCCATGAGTTTAGGTTTGATAAGTCTGGTACAAAGTCCATCTGCATCATTAGTGTAGTGCTGTTAAAACACACACAAAAACTAATTAAGCTAATTTACAAACGATATACCATGGAAGTATAATGGTAAAATGTTTAATGTAAATACCATGATACATTAAATTCAAACAAATGAACATTTGACTGAAATTATGCAAATCAAGACGCAAATAAATGCACTTTACGACTGTAAAGAGTAAAATGAGGCTTGAACGTGCTATTTAAATAGACAATAACTCATGAAATATAATGTATCGTTAGCTTTAAACGTTTTAAGAACAAGCACATCCAACGCAGTAAACTGTGATGGCCAGCAGATGTCGCTGTTGTATACGCATGTTCTATTATTGATTGCGCTTTCTCTCCTCAGATGAACAAGTCCACACAGGCCACTACATTCTTATAATTTCAGTGATGAAATACGTGTTTGTGATTCTATGTGTCTGGAAGCTATAACCGTGAGGCCAGACGGCGTGATGCTATAGTTGCATGAATGAAACGGCATCGATTAGGCTGCTGAAGTGATCTGTAACCTGCGCTCGTTTCCTCTTTGTCACTTCCTCGTTATCGACAGCTCCAGGAACTGCGCTGCTGTTACACGCGCGCTCAAAATAACATTTGCATGTCTACACTCCAACAAAAACTGCAGTAATTCTTGGACGTATTGATCAATAATGTTTCTAATGAAATATGTCACCGAGGCTCCATCTATCTGACCAAAAATACAGTAAAACCAGTAATATTGTAAAATGTAAACATTTCAGCATGACTACGCCAGTCAATGTCACATGATAGAAATCATTCTAATATGCGGATTTTTGATGCTGAACTGAAGCATTTCGTATCAATATTGAAAACAACTGCACTGCTTAATATATTTGTGGAAACCATGATACGTTTTTTCAGTATTGTTTGATAGATAGAAAGTTCAAAAGTGCATTTATTTGAAATAGAAATCTTTTGTAACTTTATAAATGTCTTTACAGTCACTTTTGATCAATTCAGCGCATCCTTGCTGAATAAATGTAATTTTTTAAAGATTTGTTACATTTAACGCAGCCATAATGAGCCATTACAGATGACAGTGGACGGTATCAATTTACAGCTTTTATTTTGAATATCTCTCCACTGGTTTTCTGACGAATTTTTATCAAGTGGAAGAGTGTGGGAAGAATATAATCTGCGGTAGTTTAATCACTATGAACATAAAGGCTTATTGTAGACTGTTTAAGACTCGTCCACTTCTTTGGAAAGACCACAACTGTTCGGCTGAGGCTATAAGGGTGGGAGAAAGATAGAGAGGGTGACTGTAGCCAAAATTACACTAAAGAACGTGTGGAATTCCGTAATAGAAAGGGCGAGGAGAGACTTGAGGAACCCAACTAAAGTCACCCAGACCCCAATCGAAAATAACCAGAGCAGAACCATCAACACTTAACCGAGAGCGGATCACTGGTTAATCACACAGACCATCCCTAATGAGGCCAATGGATAGTGGAATAATAATAAAAAAAAAAGATATGTAAAATTATACAAATGAGTCATTTACATCCTACATCTATGTAAATCGGTTCTTTTTAAGCCTCTCTTTTCATTACCGGTGCACTCATCAGGCTACATGCTTGAATGTCACCTCAAATGATGAGGCCTGTTTGAGAAAAGGTGTGCAATACCCAGAATATGAAGAATGGGCTCTTCTGATTTGTGCCAGTAAGCCGCCACCCAGAACACCCTATGATCTGCACAGCAACATGCTAAAACCATTCAGAACACCTTAGCAACCACCACTCTGGCACCCAATAAAAAGTTTGTATGTTGGCTGCCAAAGTGGATTTGCACATGAAAATGTAAATGGTGCTTGTTTGCCTAAGAAAATTGGAATATCTCCTCATTACATTATACAGGGGTTTTAAACTTTCTCATGTCAAGGACGCCCAAATATGATGATCCTCTTATGATGATCCGTCTCCTAAAATACAAAAGGCAGCTACTTTATGTATTCTGAAGTATTAAAACCCCATTGATAAGTTGTGAGATGTGAAGACAGCAAAATGTAATTGCAAAAATAATTGCTTACAAAATTAAATAATGAGCTTTTTATATTATACTAAAGCAGACTGCTAAAATATAGTGCGTATAATATATATATATATATACATACATACACACACACACACATATATGTGTGACCCTGTATATATACACACACATATGCGTGATCCTGGAGCACAAAACCAGTCATAAGTAGCATGGGTATATTTGTAGCAATAGCCAACGTATGGGTCAAAATTATCGATTTTTCTTTTATGTCAAAAATCATTAGGATATTAAGTAAAGATTTTCTATGAAGATATTTTGTGAATTTCCTACCGTAAATATATCAAAACGTAATTTTTGATTAGTAATAGACATTGCTAAGAATTTCATTTGGACAACTTTAAAGGTGATTTTCTCAATATTTAGATTTTTTTGCACCCTCAGATACCAGATTTTGTAGTTGTATCTCAGCCAAATGTTGTCCCATCGTAACAATGTGTACATCTCAATTTAAAAAAATTGACCCTTATGACTGGTTTTGTGTTCCAGGGTCACATATATATATATATATAAAAAAATCTATAAATACATATAATTAATAAGAATTACCATTTCATTTTGCTTTCTCTGGCTCATCTGTGTAGCCGGCGCGTCTGATGTGGACTGACTTCCTGTTAGGGCTATTTTTGTATCCGTGAGTGGCGATCAATTTGAAAATGTTGACGAGGCAGTGAGAGGACTCTCAGGAAGAAGCCTGTTGGTTTCACAACCCGCTGGGCTAACTTTGGAGTGTGCTTGTGCTGACTATACAAGTATTTTAACAATAATCTATAAGACCATAAATAGACCTGTTAGCTACGAAAACAACAACTTAAAGCAGGTCATACGCCAGTAACCCTCACCTCCATGAGCTGCATGAGGTTTTCAAAGTACTCCTCCTCATCGATGGACAGTTTGCCGTTGTGATAGATGATGCGGTAATGCTCCACCTTGCCGTCGCAGCTGACACACAGGGTGTAGTCGCCGGGGTAGTTGGTGCTCTCACGCACCAGGAAGAGGCCTGTCTCTGGGGGGTAAAGCAGCCTCTCGGCCTGCTCGCGTGTGATCTTTCCATGGAACCATCTGAGTGACCACAGATAAAAGACATGTGTTTGCTCTGTTCATCATTTACAAGTCATATCAAAGCATATTTTGTGTTGCTGTGGTCTGATGAAGAATAGTTTTCAGTCAGTTGGTGAAGTTTATAAAGTGCATAAAATCTGGAAGCATCACACAATTGCACACTTACTAACAAATGACTTATGAGCTAGTTCGTTTAATGAATCAGTCAGAAAGACCCAGGAACCCAGAAGTTTTAGTTTTGAATCAGTCTGACGCGTTGATTCATTATTCGATGAAAAGGCCAGAGATACATTTTTTAAATTAAAACAAACTGCTTGTGATGTTTGGATAAGAGTGTTTGCTACCCCCTGTAGTGAAAATCAAGTTTTTTATGTTGATTAGACAATATAGACAAAACATATTTGTCTACATGTTCTTTTTAATATGCTTTTAGACAAACTATGTGCCAATCCATTAATCAAAACCACTGCTGAGTATTTTCTCCTTAAAACTGAAGTTTCCCATAGGCAGTCCCAGAAATGTGGTTTGAAACGGCCCTTTTTTTGCTACGTCACAAAAATCAATAACCAAGCACGTCAAGGGATCGTATCATTAGCATATCATGAACTGTGCTGCAAAGCAGGGGTTCTAGTGAGAAGGCAGCCAGGTTAATCTGGTATATTTTTCTGTAGATGTTTCGCTAGCTGTTGATATTTTCACTGTTTTCACGATGGCATGTGCTGTTACCGCATATTTATTTGTATTTAGAACCGCTAACTTGAATAATAATCTGCAGCAACAGTGTAAAAGTAGCCCAGAGTCAGACCCACCTCTCCCGCATTGGCGTCCGCACTTCACTCGCATATGCTCGCGGGCGCGAATTGGAATAACAGACTTGGCTGCATTCGAGACTTCAAGGCATTTTGAGGACACAACATCGTCAAGTAATTCACTTTAACGAATGTTACAGTATCCACTGTAGTTGTCCGCTAGTAAAAACATGGTTTTATCAGTCATTACCCGTGGATCAGGAGGCCCTGGCTGGTGTGACTGAGTGGAGGCAGGGCTAATTTGCATATTCATAGATCTGCATATAGTAAATGAGGCAAGGGTGTAGAGTTACATTCAAGCTATTTTAAGGCATGAGAAAATTATTTTCACAAGAAAAAAACATTTAAATATGTTATTATAATCTGCAGCAACAGTGTAAAAGTAGCCCGGAGTCAGACCCACCTCTCCCGCATTGGCGTCCGCACTTCACTCGCATATGCTCGCGGGCGCGAATTGGAATCACAAACTTGGCTGCATTCGAGACTTCAAGGCATTTTGAGGACACAACATCGTCAAGTAATTCACTTTAACGAATGTTACAGTATCCACTGTAGTTGTCCGCTAGTAAAAACATGGTTTTATCAGTCATTACCCGTGGATCAGGAGGCCCTGGCTGGTGTGACTGAGTGGAGGCGGGGCTAATTTGCATATTCATAGATCTGCATATAGTAAATGAGGCAAGGGTGTAGAGTTACATTCAAGCTATTTTAAGGCATGAGAAAATTATTTTCACAAGAAAAAAACATTTAAATATGTTATTTTGATGATCAAAGATGAGCTTCAAGGGATACCATTTTTGACTACAGGGGGAGCCTGTTCTTTTAATGAATTGGTCAAAAAGACTCATGAACCCACAAGTTATCATTTTGAATCAGTGTTGCGCTTTGAATCATGAATCTGAAAAACACGTGAATCATAAAAACACCTATACATCATTTCAGCATCGATATCGCAATATGCGCATCCACGACAGTCACATCACAGGATGTGCGATGTTTAGTATACTGACTGTAAAAAAGGCTATGGGTTTCTATTATTCTAACCTCTCTCTTAAATCTCTCCTTCTACATGTTGAGACACGTACATACACAGACCACTTCACCGGAGCCAATCAACGTCCAGAAACCTTGACCACATGATCTCCCCCGCCCTCACAGAGACTGAAGTTCAGTGTAGCGGGAAACGGGGTCATTAAGTTTCTGCGACATCATTGTTTTTGGACTGTTTAAAGATCGCCTTTTGGACAAAGTGTTGTGCGTGAATGCAAAAAAAGACCACAGCCACGACCACACAGTCTGTTGAGTGGCGACAATAAATGGGTTATTCTCATAAAACAAGTGCATCTTCGTTTCGTCTATAATCGGACAGCCTTTGGTGGGTCAGTACCCGGAGCCGGCAAATAGTTCTATATGGTGAAGAGCTACTAAAGCCAAAAATTTTCACTGACCGTTTTCTTTGCTCACACACAGACATCGTGTCTACACCGGACACGACAGCTGTCGTGTCGTGCCGCTACATCTATAGTCTATCAACACTGGACGCGACAAAGCGCCCGCTTCAAATCATTTGAATTTTGTGTCAGTTTGTCATAAATGAGGCATTCGTTTACTGGCATTTGTCGTGATGCGCCGCATCCAGTGTTGTCAGACAGCATCATATAATGGGTTCTATAGTATTTTGTCACATCGTGCCACTCGCGTCCGGTGTAGACATGGTGAGAGCCCCGCAGATACATGTGAACACTGAATTCTGTTCACAACTACCGTATTGACCCGAATATAAGACAATATTTTTTTCTTGGAAATACATCTGAAAAAACGCGGTCGTCTTATATTCAGGGTCTAGACTTTGACATGTCAATAATACACCCACAACAATAGGTGGCGCCAAATAAGCATAAAATGAGTGTGCCATGAAATACTTAATGTAATGCGTGTTGTAAAGATCGCGAGGAAAAACAAAAGAATAAGAAAAGCTTACAGCTGCATGAGTCGTCACTGTCACATTAGCCTGATGGGACCAAACTCCCTTTGTGATTTTAAAACGTAAGACAGTACCCAGATTTGAAGACTAGACTACAGTAAGATTTAACTTCTACTCTTAATAAGATTTTGGTAGGCTACTATTAGATGGATAGCCTAAATGTCCTAATTCTGATGGGCTCCCCGTTTTTTTTTTTAATGGTATATCAAAAAGTGTATATTTTTTAAATGTGATTGTTGGTACATTTTACCCGTTTTTACCATACTTTCAAGACAAAAATTAAAATAGGAAAATATGCAATATGAAAATATGCAATATGAAAATTGAAGACAAAATGTGTTTTACTGAGAAAAAACAAGATTTGTTTTTTAAAAAGCCTTTTTCCAAAAGGTACATCTGGAAAAAGGGGGGGTCGTCTTATAATCAGGGTCGTCTTATATTCGGGCCAATACGGTATGTCAAAATGCATGTCTCTGCAAGTATCCTTGTAAAAACAGTTGCTTATGGCTTAGGTGAAGGTAAACAATTGAGAAAGAAAATGGATGTGTAACAGTATATTGATTCACAGCAGTTTAATGTTCCTGAGGCTTTCTGTGTCAAGAATGTTAATCAAACAACAAAACACAGAGAGAAAAATCACTTTCTTTTAGCTTTAACACAGATTTGTTAGATTTAATTTACAAATCATTTTGATTTGATTGAATTTAATTTGCAGTGTTATTTTACATTTGATTATTCAATTTCTGTACCTGAATACTGTTAGACTTACTTGAAAATATAAAGCAGTTTATTTCATTTGTATCTTTGTTCGATTAAATTTGTCTATGCTTGTAATTTGTTTATTTTCTATGCTGATTTACCCACCTACAAAATCACCCCAATCATTGATTATTTTTTTCCAAATAGAGCTATTCAAGTCATCTGGTGATTTTGTTTTTCATATTGCAATATATATGTGAGTTTTTTCCAATATCGTGCAGCCCTAAATCACAAATTCAGTAAAGAACTTTGTTGTAATAAATAGGATTTTATGTAAAAAAAAAAACTTAATATGTGTTACAAAAATCATACAGCATTTTTTTTAAAGTATAAATGCAGGGTGAACTGAAAGAAATTAAATTATTTTTAATTTGAAATCGTCTAATTTCCTGTGATGCTCCTCATTTGAAATTTGGTTTGGATAAATACTAAATGAATAAATGTAGTCCAATTCACAAAATATTGACTTATTAGCTGTTTCTTTAAGAGAATTAAGTGAAAAAGACTTGATACTGTTAGACTTACTTGAAAATATAAAGCAGTTTATTTCATTTGTATCTTTGTTCGATTAAATTTGTCTATGCTTGTAATTTGTTTATTTTCTATGCTGATTTACCCACCTACAAAATCACCCCAATCATTGATTATTTTTTTCCAAATAGAGCTATTCAAGTCATCTGGTGATTTTGTTTTTCATATTGCAATATATATGTGAGTTTTTTCCAATATCGTGCAGCCCTAAATCACAAATTCAGTAAAGAACTTTGTTGTAATAAATAGGATTTTATGTAAAAAAAAAAACTTAATATGTGTTACAAAAATCATACAGCATTTTTTTTAAAGTATAAATGCAGGGTGAACTGAAAGAAATTAAATTATTTTTAATTTGAAATCGTCTAATTTCCTGTGATGCTCCTCATTTGAAATTTGGTTTGGATAAATACTAAATGAATAAATGTAGTCCAATTCACAAAATATTGACTTATTAGCTGTTTCTTTAAGAGAATTAAGTGAAAAAGACTTGCGAACTTGTGAGTTAACACTTTGAATCACACTAAAAACAAAAAAAACTGCTATTGTAATGGCATTTTTTATGTTATAAACATTAAAATGTGTCAGAAAATAGTATTGTTTTGTTTCTAATTGTAGTTTACCTCAGTTGTGAATTGTATAAATTCAATCCAATACAGTATGAATTCAGTCACTGTATTCAGATTCACAAATGACTCTTATGAGCCAGTTCTTTTAATGAATCAGTCAAAAAGACTCATGAAAGTTTGAATCAGTCAAATGCTTTATAATTTTCTAATGAAGCGGTCACAGATACTCTGAATATTTTTTTAATAAATAGTATTTTTCTGTCGAAAATCCCAATACATACACTGTATTATTGTTTTGTTTAGTATAAATGCAAAATATATATATATAGAAATTATGACTGATTGTTTGTGAGGTTCCTCATTTGAAAGACGCTTCGGATAAAAGCATTTTAGAACAATAAACATATTGTGATTCATAATGACTCTTAGGAGCTGGTTCTTTTAATTAATCAGTCAAAACAAACTCATGAAATTATGTTAATACTTTTGAATCACCAACAGTATTCCTGTAATGGTATTTCACTTTAAAAACACTAAAATGTGTCACATAGAATAGTATTGTTTTGTTTAGTATGTACTTAGGCCCAGCTATCGGGAAAATTTTGTAAGAAACACTGATTCAGATACATAATATTGTGCACAAGACTGAGAAAAGGAAGCTAAATTACAGGCTTCCAAAAGGAGCACTGGCCTTGCCTGGCCCTTCTGTGGCTTCCCTGGCATGACAAACATCCAATTTGTATCTCCCAATTACCCACACATATACATATACACCATCGAAAATAAACCAAAGCTGTGCAGTAGACAGCAAAAAAACGACTGCTACCGTCACAATCTGCTAAAGCAAAACACATCTAAAACTAAACCTTCCATTACACATGGCTAAAAGCAGACATTCAGATCCCATACATCAGGTTTGAAGGATTCACTTGATGCTGCATTGCCATGCTAAATAAAACTGTGACATCAGCGTCATTATATCCATTGTTCCTTCTAAAAACAGCAAGTAATTGAAGAATATCATCTCTTACAATTGAACCCTAATCGTGATGCATGTCTCTGGCCTTTGCATATCAGATGCTGAGAGATGGACTTTTTCCACTGGCCTGAGTGCTGCTATTTGTATAACTGTCTGATTTCTCCTTCTATTTTAAACAGCTGGCCGATTCAAATGAGTCCTTGGGTTATTGTGGTGGACCGGAACACAGGAAGACATTTGTGTATTATTACAGATATACAGTAGTAAGTGATATGTGATGATATCAGTGACACATGCTAAATATAGCACGATAATGTTTGTATGTATGAAACGCACACAAACACTCTCTCTTATCGTAGTTCAAGTGAGGATCAGTGAAGACAAACAGTCTTATTTTTTTTTAAAAAGCATGCAAATAAACTATGTACTTACGGCATAAGGCTCAGTTTACCGCCTGATTTCACTCCTTCTCTCTTCTGAACGTAGTTTGCTGGTATGGTACCCTCTTGTCCTGCTGCGTTTTTCGCTTTGTACCAGTTTGAATCCTGGAAGGAAGCACCAGCAGACAAATTTTAAAGCAATAGGTGCCCAAAAATACAAATTTATTTTGTCATATGTTGTTCCAAAAACATATGACAATTTCTTATGTAAAACACGAAATAGATATTTAGCAGGATGTTCACGCTGCACTTTTCAATGGAGTTGAAATGTATTTCAACAAATACTGACTTAGATTTCAGTCTGTTCTTCACAAAAAGGTATTGTATAGCACATTTATTATACAGGTGCATCTCAATAAATTAGAATGTCATGGAA